GTCAACAGTCCTGACAGTCTGGAAACTTCACTGGATGTTATCTGTTATGGAATATTATCTTAAGATGTGTTGCCAAGCAGAGGTTTAATCCCACCTTGAATCCCAGCACTGAGAAGGCAGAGACAGGCAGATCTCTGTGAGTTCGAGGCCAGCCTGGTCTACAGAGCGAGTTCTAGGACAGCCAAAGCTACACAGATAAACCCCATCTAGAAAAATATATATATTTGTTACATTCATTTCTACTGTGGAACATTTGTTTAATGATGCAATGATGCGTTGCATTTCCTTAACTCTGTGAAGCTTGTTACTTTGCCTGCCTAGAAGACCTGATTGGTTTAATAAAGAGCTGAATGGCCAATAGCTAGGCAGAAGAGGGGAGGGCAGGGCTGCCAGGCAGAGAGATGAGAGGGAGAAATGTAGGAGTAGACCTAGCAGCAAGAGAAGGAAGAGGACTGGAGGGGCCAGGCACCCAGCTACACAGCAAGACAAGGAGTAAGAAGTAAAGATAGATATACAGGAATAGAGAAGGTAAAAGACCAGAGGCAAAAGAAAGACAGCATAATTTAAGAAAAGCTGGCAAGAAACAAGCCAAGCAAAGGCCAGGAATATATAAGAAATAAGCCTCTGTGTGACTTATTTGGGTGCTTGGTGGTGCCCTGCCCCCAAAAGAGCCAAAGAATAAAAAACAACCAACTATAGTATCTGTCCAGTAAAGAGCCATTTACCCCAAGTCAGGACACATACCTCCCTACCCTACAGTAACAGTCACTACCACTTCCTCTGACAACTGATGGTCCTAGGCCTACAAAAGATAAGGCTTCTTTTCAATTGATATTTATTGAGCTCTACAGTTTTCTCTGCTCCTCTCCCTGCCTCTCCTTTCCCCGCTTCAATCCACCCACAGGGTCCCCATGCTCCCAATTTACTCAGGAGATCTCGTCTTTTTATACTTTCTACTTCCCATGTAGATTAGATCTATGTAAGTCTCTCGTAGTGTCCTCATTGTTGTCTAAATTCTCTGGGATTGTGGTTTGTAGGCTGGCTTTCTTTGCTTTCTGTTTAAAAACCACCTATGAGTGAGTACATGTGATAATTTTCTTTCCGTGTCTGGGTTACCTCACTCAAAATAATGTTTTCTAGCTCCATCTATTGTCCTGCAAAATTCAAGATGTCGTTATTTTTTTCTGCTGTGTAGTACTCCATTGTGTAAATGTACCACATTTTCCTTATCCATTCTTCAATTGAGGGGCATTTAGGTTGTTTCCAGGTCTGGCTATGACAAACAAAGCTGCTATGAACATAGTTGAGCACATGTCCTTGTGGTATGATTGAGCATCCTTTGGATATATACCCAAACATGGTATTACTGGATTTGTTTGTTTGTTTTTTCGAGACAGGGTTTCTCCGTAGCTTTGGAGCCTGTCCTGGAACTCCCTTTGTAGACCAGGC